TGCCATTTACTTTCACTGCTCATTCATATCATTTCAAGATTTTTTGTGTAGGTGCCTGTGAGTACCTTCAGGCAAGGACTCTATCTTATTTACCTCTAATTCCTACTAAGCACAATGCTCACAAAAACTATCATTGAGGATATACTTATTGTATGAATAAATGAATGAACTTTATTGCCAAAGGCACTTGACTGCTAACCAGAAGGCTGGTGTTTCAAACCCACCAGCCACTACTCGGAAGGAAGATTGGGCAATCTACTTCCGTAGTGATAGTGCCTCAGAAACCCAAGGAAGGGATGCTATGAGTCAGGGCCGACTCAACAACACGCAAAAACAATAAACTCTGGGTGATTAATTGATACGAAAGAGATTCTGTCCCTGTTTCCAGATATTACAAAGGCAGTGACAAGGTAATACTCTTGAACAGGGTACACTAAGAAAGGACAGAAGATAGGAAAGGATAAATGGTGAATAATATATAAAGAGAGTCCCAATGGCATATGAAACAGAGCACATATTACTGGAAGAAATCAATCATAGGACCCAAAGTACTAGGGCACATCCTGGAGGAGGTGACGGATGCTTAAGTTAGGTCACAGAGGCTTGGAGCATGGGGAAGTCACAGCAAGGGGAAAATGAAAGAAGCAACAACATGGCTGAAAGGGGAAAAGGAAGGAAGGAACAACATTGGTGAAAGCAAAAATATGAAAGTAGGAACAAGAGCAGCAGTGCAGATGTGCATGAAAGGTCTTTGTAGGTACATCACAAAGGAGCTTTGGTGGTATAGTGGTAAAGGCATTTGGCTGCTAACCAGAAAGTTGGTGGTTCAAACCCACTTACTCCTGCATGAAAGAAAGATGAGGCAGTCTGCTTCCATAAAGATTTGCAGCCTTGGAAACTGGAATTGACTCAATGATACAGTAGGAGTTTTTGGTTTTGGGTAGGTACACCAGATTGTGTCTCACCTGTACTTAAAATGCTCCAATAGAGCCTTAGCTTATCATCCAAGCCAAAGTCCTTAAGTGTCCTATAAGTCCTATAAGATTCTTCACAACTTTGTTCCCCTTTATCCCTCTGATTCTGTCTCCCTACTACTCTTCCCTGTGTTCTCGCATCTGAGGCACACTGGCCTTTGATTTATCCTAAACCCATAGTCATATATTCTGCTTAAGGACATTGTCAGTTTTTGTTTTTTCTTCCCAGAATAGTTTTCCCCAAATATATCCATGGATATATTTCTCATTCCCTTCCAGCCTCTCTTCACATATTTCAATTATGTAAGGCCTTCCAGAAACCCTATCTAAAATGTCTACTGTCTCACTGACAATTTGTAGCTGTCCCCTTAATCCTTTTATTTTTTTTTTTCTCTTAATAATCCTATTCAGTTTACATAGTAACTCCATTTATTGTCTCTCCCCTCAACAGAATGTAAACTACATGAAGGTGGGGCTTTTTCCTGTCTACTTACCTTATAATCTTGTAGGCCTTCCATAAATATTTGTTGAATGAATAAATGAATAAAGAATCACAATATCTGGTTTCTCAAACAATATATCACTAATTAACTATGTGAATTAAAGCTAAAGCCTTCTCAGAAGGCAGGAAGGGATAGGAAAGAAGAATAAAGGGAAACAGTAAACACAGGGAGGAAGTGGGGAAAGTGCTGTTACACTGAGGGTATTGCAAAACAAAATGTATGCAAACTGTTGAATGGAAAGTCAATTTGCTCTGTAAACTTTTACCCAAATCTCATTAAAAAAAAATATATAGATCAGTTGGAACAGGTGCATATGGTAAACTAAATAAATAAATAAAACTAAGAGCTTTTATCAAATCCGTCCTTTGTCTATAACCCAGGTGCAATAAAAGGGCCTTCCTACTTTTAAGACTGTTTTTTTAAACTGAAAGGAAAGCTGAGAAAAGATAGAGTCATGTCAGAGTACGGGCAAGAGGTGCTACTACTCATTCCTTTCCAAATGCATCTGGTACATACATGTCCCTATTTTGAACAAAGGAGCTATGTATTGTATGCCCATCATGGTTTTTAAAGTGAATTTGAATTCCTAGAGCCCAGGGGCCGTAACTATGTATCTATGTTGCCTGTTTTTCCTTGCAGAGTGTTAATGAGGAAAGGCATTCACCACAGAGTGGTTGACCCTGAGAGCTTGAATTAGCTTTGAAGAGGGGGGACAGATTGCCAAAAGCCCTGTATACAAATATGGGAAACATGACAGAAGCTGTAGACTCCTTTTGGTTGCTTTGCTAGGAAGGGACAGTGGGAAGCCTATGGGAGTGACATACAAGAGGATACAGAGATGTTCCTCTCTGTCAAGTCCCTGGTGCCTCAGTCCATATTCCCACAGCCTGCTCCCACGGGCCTCTGGGCAGTGTTATAAAGAGACCAGTCCCTGAAAGGACAAGGCAGCTCTGCTGCTCTCACTTGGTAGGATTTCACTGTTCCCAGGTAAGTCTGCCCCTAACCTGGAGCTGCACAGCCCAAGACTCCTGCCATCATAAGGGGTTTTAAAACCCTAAACACAGCCTCATGGCAGGGCAGAGAGAGGGGAAGGAGCTTTTGTGTCCCACCCATACCTCTATGGCAGGAAAGAAATATTTCAGAATATTAACTGACAGTCTAGAAGGCAAGTGAGAATGAACGCAGCAGCCATATTCAGGCCCAAAAAGAAATTAAAATTGGGTCTAGGCAAAAGCTAATTTAGGCAAAAGAGCAGACACTAGGTGAGGGAGACACAAGGTCTTCTGAGATATGTATCTGGGAATATGATGACCCTACAGGCTTAGACTTCAAAAAAGGAAGTACAGGTGCCAGCAAAGCAGAAAGATGCCCCATGAGAGGCTTCAGTAAACTATAGAATCTGTTCGTAACATGGCCTTCAGTAGCATGGGCAAAAGGCCTTGAGAAAGGGGAAATATAGCATCATGCTTCCCTTGATAATCCCTCAGGTCTGCCCTTTTCTTCACCACGGTCCCCATTTCTCCTGGACACAATGGTCTATTGAGCTGACCTCTGTTCAGGGAAGGTTCCTTAGCTTAGTCTCACACTCCAGCATGACTTGTTTGGATATATACATCCCCTCCGCAAATTATCTGTGATGAAAGCCTTGCATCTCACTAAAAGATATCATCCTCTGCCTCTGAAAAGAGAATTTTGTGTTCTAACAGCAGCTGGGGACCATAGTTAGTATTTTATGTTTGTCAAAGAGGGTAGCTATTGTGTCTTTTCACAAGTTCTGAGAGGGTAAAGCAGAGATCAGAAGTGTGGCTTTTGTGATCTTATAACCCAGGGTCCATTCTTCTTCAGTTCCTAGAAACCAAGCCCTTGGCTCCCTAGAGATAACTAGTTCTAAAAAGCAAGGCATCTCGAGAACCTAGTAAGAAAGGAGTTTCATGAGGTCAGCATCCCTGTGTTTGGGTGGGAAGAAGGCTGAAGCAGGCTGACACGGATGGCTTGCTGTCAGATTGTTATTGTTAGATGCTGTTGAGTTGGCTCCTACTCATAGTGACCCTACGTACAACAGAATGAACTACTGCCTGGTCCTGCACCACCTTCACAATCCTTACTATGCTTAAGCCCTTCATTGCAGCCACTGTACCCATCCATCTCATTGAAGGTCTTCCCCTTCTTCACTGACCTTCTATTTTACCAAGCATGATATCCTTTTCCAGGAATTTGTCCCTTCTGAAAACATGACCAAACTACGTGAGACAAAGTCTGGCCATTCTCACTTCTAAGGAGCCTTCTGCTTGTACTTCTTCCAAGACATATCTGTTCGTTCTTCTGACAGTTCATGATATTTTCAGTATTCTTCAATATTTGTCGGCAGAGGTTTCATGAAAGACCCATCTCAAGGTCAGGACTTAATCAAACTCTCTTGAGGGCAATGGGAACAGCCTTGGGAGATAATTTGCAGATGTGGAGAAACCCACCACCAGGAGTAGAGGAAAGAGCCTTCACAGGAACCTCATCAGGCAGCTAGGATCTGCTGAAGCCTTCTCATTCTGCCAGCTCCTTTATTTCTAGAGAAGTCATCAGAAGGAGGTGCTACCTTTGTTATGTCTCTGGATGAGTTTCCTTCATTCCTGGAAAAAAAAAATTGCTTTCAGTCTTTTTTATTAGTTTTTGTTGTTGTTGTTGTTTCTTTCTTTCTTTTCTTTTCAGTTTGTTGTTTGTTTCTCTGTTTGTTTCTCCTTCTTTTCTTCCTCATTGACCTTATACCTGGAGGCCTGTAATCTTAATTTGCAAAACCAAGAATCTTTTCCTACTGCTTTTACACCCTTTATTTCCTTCTCTGCCTATGTCATTTCTAGTCATGTTTCAAAACTGATCCAAGGGATCAGTTTTTCCAGGAAGATTCCTCTGATCACGCCTCTCCCCCTCCCTGTAATAAATACACACTTCTTGCTAACATTTCTCACAGTGCGCTAATGATTTGGTTTACTTTATTGCCTCCACTAGGCAGGACAGCTGGAGGGTAAAGGAGGCATCTTTTATCTCTGTATCAGCAGCATCTAGCAAATAGCCTTGTACATAGAAGATCATATAAGTGAGTGCTTATGAATGAATGAATGAATAAAAAGAAGAAAGAGAAAACGTATATTAGTAGCTGGAAAAGACGTGAAATAGGGTATGTTTTAACACCTATCTGAGTAAAGGATTACCCAGTATACAGACACCAAAGGTGTGGGCCAGGGTGAGGAGTCTGAGGAAATTTGAGAAGGCCACATTCTGGACTAGAATTGTTCTCCCCAGGCTCCCTTTTAAGCAAATGTAAATGGACCCTGAGAGTAGTGATTGATAAATAAATTTGACCTTTTCTCTCTTTGGAAGAGTTGCTTAGAAATTATTGAACAGATTAAGTGGCATCAGTGTGGGTTGGGAGAATGGGCAAGAGAAGGGAGGAAGAGGTATGATAACTTCAGTTCCCAGATTTCGGAGGTTGGCCTCTCTGATTGTGCTCCATGTCCTAGCAGGCTAGCAGACTGACAGTGTGACCTCACTCTCTCCAGTCCCCCCCTCCTCAGTGCCAACTATGAGTTCCTGCAACTTCACACATACCACCTTTGTGCTTATTGGTATCCCAGGACTAGAAGAAGCCCATTTCTGGATTGGTTTTCCCCTGCTTTCAATGTATGCTGTTGCAGTGTTTGGAAACTGTATCGTAGTCTTCATCATAAGGACAGAGCGCAGCTTGCACACACCCATGTATCTCTTTCTCTGCATGCTGGCAGCCATTGACCTGGCCTTGTCCACATCCACCATGCCCAAGATCCTCGCTCTCTTCTGGTTCAACTCCCAGGAAATTTCCTTTGATGCCTGCATTGCCCAGATGTTCTTTATTCATGCTTTGTCAGCCATCGAGTCCACCATCCTGCTGGCCATGGCCTTTGACCGTTATGTGGCTATCTGCCATCCCCTGCGCCATGCTGCAGTGCTCAACAATACAGTAACTGCACATATTGGCATGGTGGCCTTGGTGCGTGGATCACTTTTCTTTTTACCACTCCCTCTTCTCATCAAGCGACTGGCCTTCTGCCACTCCAATGTGCTCTCACATTCCTATTGTGTGCACCAGGATGTGATGAAGTTGGCCTATGCAGACACTTTGCCTAATGTGGTCTACGGTCTTACTGCCATCCTACTGGTCATGGGCGTGGACGTCACATTCATCTCCTTGTCCTATTTTCTGATTATACGGACTGTTCTACAGCTTCCTTCCAAGTCAGAGCGAGCCAAAGCCTTTGGGACGTGTGTGTCACACATCATTGTGGTACTGGCTTTCTACGTGCCACTAATTGGCCTCTCGGTGGCACACCGCTTTGGAAACAGCTTGGATCCCATTGTGCATGTTCTCATGGGTGATGTCTACTTGCTGCTGCCTCCTGTGATCAATCCCATCATCTATGGTGCCAAGACCAAAGAGATCAGAATACGAGTGCTTGCCATGTTCAAGATCAGCTGTGACAAGAACCTTCAGGCTGTAGGAGGCAGGTGACCCTTCCCACTCTACTTCTCCTTCTCCCTAATTGCTTGATATAACTATTAGTGCCTAAGGCACTTGACTGCTCACCAGAAGGCTGGCGGTTCAAACCCACCAGCCACTCCTCGGAAGGAAGGTTGGGCAATCCTACTTCCGTGGTGATACTGCCTCGGAAACCCAAGGAGGGGTCGCTATGAGTCGGGGCCGACTCGATGGCAAACAACAACAACAATTTAATTCCAGTTGTCCATAAGGACATAAGTGCTTTTCTCGGATCTGGCCCCAAAATTCTGCCTGTGTTTGAGATACCTAACTATATTTTGAAGGCTAATATGGTTCCATGCCACAGATCAAAAAGTTATTGATATCCTTATGATATAAAAAGTTTAATTAGAAAATTCACCAATACCACAATAAATAATAAGAAGAACACAAGGAGGACTGACACAACTATAATTGGCTTAATAACAGGGCAAAAAATATTCAAACTAGTAATGCAAGAAACATTAAAACAGTAATTAGACAATGTTCTTTGGCTATCAGTTTAGCAATTTTTATTAATGAAAATTCACAATGAATATGAGGTTGTATTGAAACAGATATTTTTGCAAATTGCAGAGGAAGATATAAATCGACACAAAAACTTTAAAAAATAATATGGCAGTATTATAGCAAGAATGATAATCTCATTTTTAACAATTTATCCTAATAAAATATCTTCAAGTGCATAAAACAAAATTTTTATAAAATACAGTGGTTATACCATTATTTGGAGCAATCATATATTAGAAATCCTGGAGTATAAAATATAGAAAAACAATGTGGCCCATTCTCTTAATGAAATATTATGTGGCCTTTAAGGACTGCTATGAAATTAAACATGCTGTTTGGTAATGGATAATGGTGATGGTAAGGAGCTCTGGTGGCATAGTGGATAAGGTATCTGACTGTTAACCAGAAAGTCAGCAGTTCAAGCCCACCAGCTCCTACATAGGAGGAAGATGAGATAATCTACTTCCATAAAGATTTGCAGCTTCGGAAACACAATGAGGGTCACTATGAGTCAGATTCAACTTGATGGCTGTGGTGAGAATGGTCATAGTAAAACAACATGATAAACATAATTAATGTCACTGAATTGTGCATGGGAAGAATGTTAAAATGACAAATAATTTGTTACTTACATATTTACCACAATAAAAATAAAACAAAGCATGCTTATAAAGTTAAGAAAAGTAATAAGGATACATGATTGAGACTAATTTGGAAAACAATCTCTCTTGAAGGAAATGTTTTCAAATTACTAGTGATTTACATTTGCCCCTACTTTCTAATTTTATTATGGATATCTTGCTTAGTCGACATGTACAACTTATAAAATAGGAAAATGAGACTGGTAATTTATAGAAGCCAGTGTTTGCCACACTTCTCACTGTTGGTATATTTATGTATTACATGGGAATTTATCTAAGCCTTTAATAATAATGCTAACTAACATCTCTTGAGTGCTTACAATGTTCCAAGCACTATTTAAAGTTCTTTAAAGGCTAATCTTCAAAACAACTTTGTGAGGTAAATACCATTTTTGTCCCTCTTACTAGGAAAAGAAAAGAGACTTACATTAGCAAGATGACTTAACTAAGTCACACAGCTTGTAAGCACACAGCTTTGAAATTAAATTTGATAATCAAATATGTGTTTCCTCAACCTGTACAAATCCTGTTTTCTCTCTGCTGTGTATACAGTAAGATGAATATGTTTGTATTTGTGCTGAAAGATAACCCTGTCCTTGTGGTGAGCAATAAACCCAGATTACTCTTTGTGCTTCACAGTCACCTTTCACAGTCTTACACTCTGCTTCTTTTCAAATTAAGGGACAGTATTGTCTATTTATCTCTTATATCTCCTTAATCATGTTTTCTTTTTTCTTAGTGTATCCTTTATCAGTCCATTTTTAATGTACACTATTTAATATTGTCTGAGTTTTAACTCAGGTGTAAGATGCAATAAAGTTTTATTTTAAATTTCACTGAGTGTTATGCCTATTGCTTTTATATTTACAAAATCCTATGATCTCAGATTTGGAGATGTCATTGCTTTGGACAAGGGGCTCTTGACTCTACCAGAATGCCCCAGGAAATTTTTATCCAAAAAGTAGGCTAGGGTGTTTATCCACTAGCTTTTTGAGTGGAATTGCCCTTATGATTATAACTCACCTTGGAGAAAGTCCTAAGGTAGAAAAACAAATAAGGAAGAGCACACACTAGATGTGAAATAGAACAACAACAAAAAAAAGTGTGTTATAGTTCCAGGTGAATACAAAGGTAGGCCAAAGAGCTTAACATGGAACATATAGGGGAACTATTCTAGGTTAGCGAAATGGAATAAGCTTTGAGATACTCAGGATTTGATACATCTCTCTTGTATTTAACACTACCATTTATTGAAGGCTTCCTATTTATCTTCTACTGTCATAAATACTGGGAGCTCTGATGGCATAGTAGCTAAGGCATATAACTGCTAACCAGAAGGATGGTGGTTCAAACCCACCAGCCACTCCTCAGAAGGAAGACTGGGCAATCTACTTCTGTAGAGATGTTGCCTCAGAAAACCAAGGAGGGGTCATTATGAGTGGAATCAACTCAATGGCAGTGAGTTTGGGGTTTTGTTTTTTGTATTTTTGTTTTGGTTTTGCCATAAGTACCAAACCAAAAAAACAAACCTGTTGCCCTCAAGTCAATTCTTATTCATGGGAATCCTGTATATTTCAGAATAGAAATGTGCATTAGATTTTCATGGCTGTGACCTTTTGAAAAATACATTGCCAGACCATTCTTCCAAGGCACCTCTGGGTGGATTCTAACCACCAATCTTTCAGTTAGCAGCCAAGCACTTAACTGTTTATGTATTACTTACATAATCCTCAAGACAAACATTTGAGATGATACTCATTTTGCAGATTAGTACTGAGGTTAAAAGGATTATATAATTTCCCTAAAGTCATGCAATAGTAAATGGCAGAATTCAAATTTGAACCCATATCTCCCTGACTTCTGAGCCTGCTGTATACTGTTTACTGTATTAAACTCAATGAAAATTGTAGCTTGACCAAGAAAGCATGGCGTGATCAAGGTTAGTTACGAAGGATGCAGGGAAATGACTTCTTCTGCAGGAAGTGACTTTAGAGAGTTCACTTTTCCTCTTGTACCTCTGTTGTTTTATCTAGAACAGTCAGGCGAGGGGAACACTTTCCCTCAGAGTTGAAAGGAAAGTTTCCATGTTTCCTCTGGAAGAAAAAGGATAATCCAAAAATTAAGCCAATCTGTCCCTACCCTGTGAGTGATGTGAGCTGCTCTTAAAGAGATATCTACTCTATTCCATATCCATCTTTCCTGGAAAGAGATTTATGTGCCTCTAGAATGTGCTAAGAGGGAATCTTGAGAGGACATGTTCTGATTACCTAGAGCCTCTCTGACAAGAATATACCATAAATGGGATGACCTTAACAAAAAAAGAGTTTATTCTCTTACTGTTCGGGAGGCTAGAAGTCCAAGTTCCAAGTGCCAGGTTCTAGGGTCTTTGTGAAAGCCCCTTGACCTTGGGCTTCAGCTCTGCCTCTTGCTTCCAGCCCACTGAAGCTAGAGGTATCTCTCTCTTCTCTCAATCAGCTACTAGCTATTGAGGCTAACAAGCCCAAGATTGATGAATAAAATGGCACAGTACCAATGTTACCAAACCACAAGACAGGCCTTTAATTCAAGTCCATTGAAAGTCCCAAGGTGGACAGAGCATGGCAGGCTGCTGAACAACGACATGGCTACATCCAGGGCCCAAGCATACCATAAGCTAGAGACTGTTCCCCACGGCTTCTCCTTACATACAGGAAGCAAACCACATCCCTAAGGCAGCTACACAGCTGCTCACAGTAGTTTCCACCATGGAGTTGATTACCAGTCTCATCATGAAGAATACTACATCCAGCTGCCCAGCCACTCAACCAGCCCCAGCCAAGTTGACACAGACCTATCCACCACAGGACCCAAGCTGAAGCCAGTTCCTGTTCTGACCCTAGGTGGGTGATCTTTTCTAATTCACATAACCTCTTTGAACTCACTCTGTAAAACGTTGTAATTGAATTATATAACCTCTAAATCCTATCTTTACTCTAAAAATATCATGTGCACAGAACATCATTAAGAAGTAATGAACAATTATAAATGGTCTTCAAGGCTGAAATCCTCTGGGACGTTCTTGGGAACTGCCTTCTGACCCTCATGAGGAAGCCAGCCCCCTTCTCTGTGGCACACCCTACCGTGAGAGGCTCCCAGAACTAGTAGACTCGGGCAAGTGTTCACTGTAGCGAGGCAATCTTTCCCAGTGAAACAGAGTCTCAAGGGAATGAAGACCATAAAAACACTGCCCTGTTCCCAGCCATGTTTACATTGGCCTAGTCAGAGAAGGGCACCAGTTTAGGTAGCAAATTCCCCTGGAGAGACTGAGAATCAGATGAGTGGCCCAATGAGTAAAACAGGCCACTTGCCCCTAGTAATTTCATCTAGTCCCCATCTCTGGGTAGCCCATCATCTATCGCAGGCTGGATTAATATGAAAGAAGGGCAGACCATAATTTTATTTGTTTCTGGGGATAAAGAGTTCTCTAGGCATTTTTTATTAATGTTGGAAGAAAGGATTTACACTTAATACATATTTATGACCAGAGATTACCAGCATCACATATTTGGGATTCTTTGCTGCAATGATCATCACTAATTCTCCCAGCTGATGCCAAAGTGCTTGCTCAATGTCTATTTCTTTAATATTATTCAGTGTTAAACATTCAAGAAGTATTTCAAATGTTTTAGGCCCTTTATAAGGTGAAAAGAATACAAAAATAAGCATTAAAATACATTGTAGTGGGTGTCAGATATACAATAAAATTGATAAATGTAAGACCCTAACAGCCTGTTAGCAGCTCTGGTGGCATAGTGGGTAAGACATTTGGCTGCTAACCAGATG